TAATCTGTTTCTACCCCTCTCTCCGAGCTTTAACAAGGTAACATCTAATAACTTAGCTCCATTGTTTTCTGGCCAAAAAGCGATCTGGATCACAACTTGCTCAGTGGACAGATACCATCATCTTTGGGTGCACTGAGTTCTCTGCAACTATTGTAAGTAAACTTTCTGCAACTTTTTGTTTTCACCATTGCACTTAATTCTTCGACTTTCTTTGACTTGATATGATCAGTTGGTTCCTTTGTATAACATTTCAAATTCTTCTTTATAATCTGTGAGTTTTGCAGGTCTCTGTATTATAATAACTTGTCAGGTCCAATTCCCTACCAATTAGGAAACATCACAGCCCTTCAAATATTGTAAGTTCTTTGCTCACCCTTGTTGCACTTTATGAACACACACTCTCTCTCTCTCTCCCTCCATCACACACACACATGCAGAGAGACAAATTATGTACATATATTCTAAAGGCTAAAGCTTTCTACTGAAAACAAATATCTGAATTCGTCTTCCTTTTTTTTTCTGCTTTGAGAATTTTGGATCAGAATCGAATCTCTGGTCGTCTTCCACCCTCATTTAGTAATTTGAGCAATCTCCAATACTTGTAAGCTTCTTTCAAACAAAGTTACATATATATATCATGAGAAAAGGAGGAGAAAATTTTGGTACTTAAATCTCTACTGGGATTACGTTGTTTTGTTCTCATGTTGTGGAAGCTGGGCGGCATCCAATGATCTCACTGGGGAATTCCCGGATTATGCCAATCTTACTCAGATGAGCGAATTGTAAGTGTTTCTCATTTAATAATGTCAGAGTCACCAAATTTGTTTACCAAATGATATGTCGATGCACATCTTTAGTATTTTGTTGGAAATAAATGGGTAAATAGTGGACCCAGATTTGAATAAATGAAACACGGCCACGTCATTTGACGAAAAAAATTTGGTAAAGGAATTTGGTGACTGCAGCAGGATTCTTCTTAATTTAATGTTCTTGATGCCTGCAATCTACAGTATGGTGAATTTATTAATATTTGAGAGAGCCTAATTGGCCAATGCAGTTCAATATCTGGCAACTATATGTCTGGTCGCTTTCCAGCTGACTTCTTCAAAAAATGGACTGAAATTCGTTATCTGTAAGTTTTTCTTTAGTTAGTCGTATCATGTAAATCCTTGGGAGAATAGATGTAAACGGTACCAAGAGCTAACATGTATAAAAAGTCCTTACAAATTAACAGATGAGACAGAGTTCTACATATTAAGCTTCTACTCTAGAGACATTGACACTTTTCACTGCTCACAGGTCAATTTTGGGAAACAATTTTGAAGGGAGTCTACCTGCAGAACTTTTTAATTACTCCCGTCTTGAGTATTTGTAAGTACACCGTCCCCTTCTGTTTCATTAACCCACTTTTTCAGAAAAAAAGGAAAAAGAAAAAAGAAAAATCAGCAGCTCTGTTTTCGTGATGAATTTTTTGTGTCTATTTTGCAGAACGATCAGTGACGTAGCAAACTCTGGTTTCCAATTCCCACGATTTGCAAACCTGAACAATATATACACTCTGTAAATCGTTTTTATTGCATGTCGCACACATCTATTCATTTTTTAAGAGATTTAATACAAAAACATGTACAGGGCAAAGAGTAGAATTAATTCATGCTCACTGGCCAGATTTAAACTTTATTTTGCTCTGCAAGAGTCTATGTGCTGGGACAAAACCCAACATTTCTTTAAGGGCCAGATTTAAACTTCTAACAAGCTTTATTTTGCTCTGCAAGAGTCTTTGTGCTGGGACAAACCCCAACATTTCTTTAAGTTGCATAATTTCTTATGCAGTCAGCATCACTAGATGTAAACATCTCATGTTCATGATTTATCCACTCACTCACCTCTTCTCATGGTTTCTATAGGATATTAAGGAACTGTTCCATCACCGGTGAAATCCCTGAATACATTGGTAAAATGTCAAATTTAAAATACTTGTGAGTCTCTCTCTCTCTCTCTCTCACACACACACACACACACACAACACCTTCACAAGTCCCTAGATTAATGGTTTATGTTTATGCTTTTTACTGATTTGTTTCAATTCCTGCTTTTTAATGTACTTTGATACAATTCATCTCACAGACTAGCTAACTAAGTTCCCAAGTTGTTAATGCCTCTATGTATTCTTAACAGGGATTTGAGCTTTAACAATTTAATCGGACGAATCCCACAATCCATGAAAGGTTTAAATTTAATACAGTACTTGTAAGTGAATGATATTCGTGTGTTTTTGGTACACAAAAGACAACAGAACTCTTGTTGATGTTAGTACTCTGTTATTAACTTTCTCTCTCCTCAGGTCCTTGGCAAAAAATAAACTTAATGACACAATCCCTGCTTGGGTTGGTGCAGTCAAGACTAGATTGTAAGCTTCTATATTCAAATTCTTAAACTATTTACAGCTATTTTTAGCTTCATGCATTGGTGTCAAGTAAGTCTGAAAGCTTAGTATCTTGATAATTGATCTTTATTTCTTAAACAATGATTGCCCGAAAGCTTAGTATCTCATAATTTCCTTTAACACCTTTGGGATTAAAGTAAGACAAGTTTAAAGATGTTTATGACTCAAGTTCACTAAGTTGAACTTTAACTTTTGAGATTTCTTAGAATTAGGATCGTTGCTTTTTGAACCTGCAATTGATGGCAAATTCAAATATACTGGATTGACCTTTGGTTGGACGGAGTATGTATCAGTCTGGTTGTTCACATGCGGAAGTAAACCTTGTGTGAGCATACATATTTGAATTCTGTATTAATTTTGAGCTGATATTTGAGTGTCTTCTTAACTTCAATCTTATCAATGCAATGAAATATTTATATGAATAGTTGTTGTGAAATGATAATTCTACAAAAAGTTTCATGCAGTAATTTAGATACTAAAACACTTCTTTCATCAGACAGCTACTTCGATTTGACACCAGAATTCTTAATGATATGCAAAAGAAAAATCCTTATCTAAGCCATCATTTTCTAGGAGCTTATTATGTTCTCACATTCCATTAGCTATGAAATTTGACCATATGTCTTTTCAGGGATCTGTCGTACAATAACTTTTCAAAAGTTAGCTTCATAGTGCACAAGCAAGATCATCTGTAAGAATTGGCATTAATTTTCTATTTTTATTGTTACCAATCTAGTTGCATGTGGAATTATGATGAGATTGTTTTCCATACATTTCAGGAACTTGTTTTCCTGCTGCAGCAGTTCAACCGATCCAGATCAACTGTTTGTGTATGTTAATATTTTTATCTCTTCTAGTATAAGAAAAGCCAAGGGGCATTTCTTACAAATTCGGTGGTTTATTCAGGGATCCAAAGAAACGCATGCATACGCATTGTCCTGGACGAAAATCTAAATGTGAGTTTGGTTGGTTCTTCAGACATGTATACAATCACACATAACTTTACCTAAAGGATTCCTGAAAATTGGCAATAGAATAAACAGCACCGTTAAATACTTCAACAAGAAGTTTGTAATAGTTTTAACAATCTATACAAGAAAACTGGTAGTCATTTTAGGTCAATTTTATTGTTTTTCATTTTATTAATGTCTCATTCCAGTACATATGTTGCACTTTATTTGCAGCTCGTTCCTTGTTTATAAATTGTGGTGGTGAGGGAGTAAATTTTGGTGGCAAGTATTATGAAGCAGATAACTCAACTTCACTCAATTATATTAGTCCATCCAAAACCTGGGCTTATAGCCTTTCTGGAGACTTCTTATCACCGGAGTCCAATTCTAGTAATTTCATACAGACCCAGTCATGTGGAATTCACGACGCTGAGTCAGACTTATATTTAAATGCTCGGGTTGCCCCTGTCTTCCTAAGTTATTATGCTTTTTGCTTACACAAAGGCAAATATAACGTGACCCTTCACTTTGCTGAAATAGTATTCAGGGAGAAGGAATCATATAGTATACTAAAAAGACGGGTATTTGACGTTTATATCCAGGTAATTAAGTGCTGATGTCATTCAATTATTTGTCACTAAATTGAGTACCATCAACTGAAATCTTGTGCACCATCTTTATATATACTGTCTGCCCGTGTTAAAAGAAGCGTTTGTTGTAGGATGAGAGAAAGCTAATGAATTTCGACATCGCAAAAGAGGCAAAGGGTCCAGATGAACCTCAAATCAGATATTTCGAAGCTGATGTTAATGATAGTGTATTGAAGATCTCCTTCTACTGGGCTGGAAAGGGAAGTAGAGGCGACTGGCCTGCTTTGAATGGACCTCTCATTTCTGCTATTTCCATAACTCCAGGTGATTCAAAAGGCTATGACTTTAGTTTCTTCTGGTTGGTTCCAAGCTACACTTGAACCCCTTTGCTTATATTGTCATCATGTGTGTGCCCCATTAATTTACCAAAAAGTGGCTACTTCAAGGTTGCAAGCAGGCCGTTTTCATTTCAGTTAATTAGTTTAGTCTTGTTAGACTGCATATATACTGAATTAATTTGACAATCTTTTAAAGAAGTTTGACTTTTCTCTTGCTGTTTTCCCCTGCTTCGATGAAATATATATCACTTCGAAGTTCCCCAAAGCTCTGCATTGAAGAAAGCATTGATTATTACTCTACCTTCAAGTGTAGTTGTTCTATTGCTTCTATTAGCTTTCATGTGGAAAATGGGCTGGCTGGGGAAAAGAGAGTTGAGAGGTGGGTGAAGCTACAACTACACTGCACCATGCCCTTTTTCAAGAATTCTTATTTCCTAGTTAACATGTCATCTTTGATTTTTCCCGGAACAGAAATACAGATAGGCCAAGATAAACATGTTAGCCTTCAAGAATTAATAGGTGCAACTCGAAACTTTAGCAGCAAAATGGAGATCGGTAGAGGGCATTTTGGAAGGGTTTATAAGGTATACTTTTACATTGTGAACTTAATTTGTGGTAGAAATTTGGTATTTTTTGACTGTTGCAATTTTTGTTCAGATAAAAAACATTAGTCCATTGTGTTGATGCAGGCTGAACTGGAAGGTGGTCAAACTACTGTAGCTGTTAAAAGACTTTCTACTCACTCAAAAGAAAATATTGAGGAATTATTAAATGAATTCTATACCTTAAAGTCCTTGAGGCATGAGAACCTTGTTCAATTGTTGGATGGTTATTTTGGAAAAGGGTTGCATTTGCTCATCTATGAATATATGCCAAACCTGTCCATTGCAGACGCTTTTTTCGGTAATTCATCTTTTCTCCTCCCTTTTCTAATTCTTCAAGTACAACATTGAATTCTTTTATTCTATATTCCTGGAGCAGTATACTTCCTCCTTTTGTGTACAGATAGAGATACTTACATTCATTTTACCTTAGCCAACATTTTCCTCTTCATACCATGTATTGCTTTTATATTAAGAAATAAGATCAGGTACTCACTCGTCATTGAAATACCATCGAAATACAGTTAGGTTACGCATACAAGATGTCGTCTTTTGAGAAAACTTTCCATGACACCCCCATTCGACGACACATGTTACAACGCTTGCCCCGCGTCATTAAATGCCTTTCATATGACGCAAATCAGGTGTCATGAAAGGGTTTTTCTGTTGTAGTGACTTGTGTTTTCTGTGCTGATACAGTATTTATGACAAAAACAAAGTTGTTTATGGTTTATACTTAACTGGAGGAATATATACATAGAATGCTAAAGTGGTCATCATTCATGTGGCTTGCAGGCTTGAAGTCCAGATTGAAGTTTAATTGGGAAAATAGATTTAACATTTGCCTGGGAATAGCGAGGGGTTTAGATCATCTTCATGAGCACCCTAGACTCAAGATGGTTCATAGGGATATCAAAGCTGAAAATATCCTTCTTGATGGAGCTCTTAATGCTAAGATCTCAGACTTTGGAATGGCAAGCCTGTATACCGAGGAAGAACAACTTATGATCATCAAAGTGGAAGCACCAAAGTAAGTGTACAAAAAACAAATACCTTTCGCTTTCTGAAACACTGTATAAAATAATACCATGAAATTCAACTTATACGGTCAGAAATAATATTATTTGGTGTCATATACTATGACGGGTGCATTATGCAAATATAATTTTAATTTATGCTTTATTGTTGTTGACGCAGTGGACATATGGCACCTGAGTATGCAATTCAAGGATTTGTAACAAGCAAAGTTGATGTTTACAGTTTTGGGGTGGTTATACTCGAAATTGTTAGTGGAAAGAAAAATGCAGGATACAAATTTAACCATGAAAGTGAGTATCTCTTGGACATGGTAAGCAAAACTGACAGGATGTATAGTGTTTTGCAATTTCTCCTACTTTAAAGTGAACATGCACACTTTGAATTCTAAGCCCTCATCATTTTACTGCAGGCTTATGTTGCATCTAAAAATGGAAGCCTCATGGACTTGGTGGATAAAAATTTGTCTGGCATTTATGATGCAAAACAAGCCATCACCATCTTGACCTTGGCTGTGATGTGCACGAATATATCTCCTACTCTAAGGCCAAGAATGGCAGACGTTGTGAGTATTCTTGTTGGTGAGAAAACCTTTGAGCAGATTAATCCGCCTACTACGGATGATCATCAGCTTAATGTAGCCATGGCTCGTGGCGTATGTACCAAAGCTGATTCTTCTACTTCCACAGACGTGACCTCAAGGGCATCAACTTCAACTAAATTAATCAAGGGGATAGGTGAAACACAAAATTCTTCGGCAGAAACCAGTCTCGAAATATCGGAAGAGAGTTGGATCTTGCATTAAACATGGATCCTATTTGGATTGTGTGAGAAGTTACAGTCAGTTTGGTTTGTGTTAGATCTACTTAAAATTGTTAGGGTACGTCTTTATGGTTTCAATTGTTTTATATTTAAAGCATTGTATTGTATTTTCTGCATTTGAAGCTTTTTCATCATATCTTCGTCGTCTTCTTCTTTATGTAGTTTTCATTTTTAATTTCATTCAATAAGAATATTGTTTCAGGTTTGTTCTCTGGTTCAATAAGATGGTATTTATTGCTTTTTTCCTTTCTTTTCTTTAAGATAGTTGTTAGTAGCATGGTCTTAAATATCGGAGGTATCGGAAGTATCGGAAGTCAAAAAACACGGAAATATCGCAGGAAATATCGGGATATTATCGGTATCGG